ACTAAGTTGCTGAGGCTGGCCTCAAACTTAGAATCCTCCTGCCTCAGCCTCCCAAGTAGCTAGGATTACAGTCATGTATCACTGCCATAGGCCCTTAGGACTTTTTTAAACCATGGAGGGTTATTCTGCTCCCACTTTTCTGCAAAAACCACCCAGCACCACTGGCAAAGACTGATGGCTGGGGATGGGTGTGTGACTCTGAGGGATGGACCTCAAACCTCTGCCCAGTGGACTGACCCCCATCTGCTCGCTAATGCACCCTCATCTGCTGCCTCTGGTATTCCTTTCTCATCCCACTGTTACTCCCTGTACTTCCCAAATACAGCCTCTGCACTCAGATCTCTGCTTCACAGTCTGCTTGTGGGGAAAACCAAAGTGAAAGGTCTGGTTATCCATCCCCATTTCCCAGATGAACAAAGCTGAGGTTCAGGGACTAAGGTACATATTATTACATCCCATAAAAGGAAATATATTACTTGTTCTCTGATTCCAGTTTCTGACCCAGAGCTCCTGAAATCCTTGTGGTTTCCTCAGTGATGGGGGTGATGGAGCGTTTTCTGCAGGACTCTCTAATTCCTTGGCACTTCCTGATGGGGGGACTCTTGGTGGATTCCCAGATAGCTTCCGGATGGGGGCTTGGTCAGAAGGATTAGAACTTTCAGCCTCACCCCAGCCCATCCTGCAGTGAAGATTGGGTAGAAAAATCCATCTTGCCTGCATGACGAAGTCTCTAAACTATGGGGTCTTAAGAGCTTCCATGTTGGTGAATCCCCCCAAGTCCTGGGAGGGCAGCATAGCCCAAATCCACAGGGACAGAAGCTCTTATGGGCAGAGCCCTCCTGGACGAGGCTCTGGGCCCCTCTTTGTCTGGCCATTCATTTGTACCCTTATAATAAGCCAGTGAGCCCCAGGGAAGTGACTCCCTGAATTCTGTGAGCCAGGACCAAACTGGAGGAGGAGGTTGGAGGATCACCCAGATTTGTGGCCAAGCGTGGATGCCCTGGACATCCCACTTTGGGTGTCAGACATGTTGTGAGTGTAGAAAAAGTTTTTCTTTTACAATTTGAAGCAGCTTATAAAAACTTTTTAACAGCTCATTAAACCTATGCGCTTTTGAAATGTGTGTGTATTTCTCTCCATTAATCATTTTATTGCTGTCTAATGCCTGGAACAGCTCCTTTGCAATACATAGCGAGCTTCATTGAAATGTTATAAAAATCTAATTGAATTCAGTTGTGCTTGGGTGTTTTCTAAAGTTAATATAAGTTGAACATCCCTGATCCCAAATTCAGAGATGCTCTGAAATTTAGGATTTCGGATTAAGGATATTCAACCAGGTAAAGTTGAGGTAAACATATTCTACAACCAGAAAAACTCTAAAGTCTGAAGCATCTCAGATGAGGCGTATGCAAACTGCGTGAAGTAAAATGTTGCAGGCAGCCATTGATTTAAACTGGTCACCTGCCCTGAGCCCAATAGACCAACTCCAAGTACAGTTTCATCACTGTAATGGAGCGTTGTCTGGTTGGAGCCTCAGGAGTCAACTGATTAAGCTGCACCCAACAGACCAGTTAAGCTCTAACCGACTGACTGACTGGTTAGTTGACTGAGTTGTGGCCAATTAAGTTGTTTCCAATACCTTACTTCTGTTTTTTTCTAAAAATGTCCACAGATCACATTTTGGTTGGAGTTCTCAGAAGCGGCTCTGGTCACCCGATTTCCGGATCATTTTTTTTTTTTTTTTTTGCTCAAATAAGCTTTGCTAAGCTTAATCAGTGTAATGGATTTCCCTTTTATTTACTCTTGCCATGCTGATGATGAAACCCACTGAACTACACCCCCAGCCCTCGAATTTTCTGCTTACCCCTTGTACCAGGACTCCCAAGGGCAGGCCGGGACCGCAGCTGGATGCCCAGGTGCTCTGGGCTCAGGTACTTCTCCCCTCCCAGCCTGGAGTAGGTGGCCCAGGATGCTCTGTGGAGCACATTTCTATGATTCAGCACCAACCCTTTCTCAAGAGAGGTGAGAACAGATGAGACACCACCATCTTCAGAGGAGAAATGAGTTTACTTGGATTATGGATTTGAGAACAGCGATTCTGTCGATGCACTTGACAATTCTCACTGTATCTCATGCACAGAGAAAAAGCTGGGGGGCTTTCTCCCCCTCCTCAGCTCCCAATCCATTTTCCCTTCATCAAAATATAGGGGAAACCCCCGTACTAAAGGCAGGGCAGGTCTTTGTCCCCAAAGCAGCAAGAATCAAGCCCTGTCACCAAGCAGAATGTTTCCTTAAATTCCTGTCTTTGCAAAGCCATCTCACAGTGCCGGTCGGCCCCTCACCCTGGCCCTCCGTGGCCTTTTCGTTATGAGAGCCAATGAGTTTCTGAAATTTCTAGAAGTGGGCAAGGATTCTGCAGTGGATCTGTAAAGGGACCCTCCATTTTTGTTGAATTCTTATTTATTGGAAGTGCTGGAGGTGGGGCCATCCAGGAGCACCCTCAAGATGCTGGGGAGTGTCTCTGTTGACAGGTCACCATCCCCAGACAGACAGACAGACAGCCCATCACAAGACCAGAGGACCCCCTGAAGCCACCTGCAGGCTCCACGCAAGGAAGGTGTGTCTGCAGGGGCTTGGGTCTCATGTACCTGGGCTCTGATGGAGCCTGCAGGTCAGAGGAGGGCCAGCTCTGGGTCAGAAGGGCAAAGGGTTGCCACGTCCCTCCATCTGGAAACTTCTCGCCCAGCTTGGAGAAAGCCAGGGGCCCAGGGCACTTGGAGCCGTGGCTCAGCTTCCAGGGAGCAGAGCAGCCTGTTCCCTTGGGATTTTCACAGAATGGACCCTTCGCTGAGGGCGCACAGGAAAACGGACCCCTGCCCGACTCCTGCTGGCTTCTCAGCCCCCAAGCTGCCTGGCGAGGAGCCTGTGCCCAGGCTCAGGGCGGGAGGGCAGGTGGCGTTAGATGGCAGTTCTGTTGCCACGGTGTCTCGGCCTGCGGACCTTGACACCCCGGACCCTGGCCTCTGCAGAAGGCTGCTTCTGCTTGGAGTCCAGGTTCTTCTTGTACTCCTGGACCCACAGCTGACTGGGGTCAGCACAGACCTTCCGGCCCGCCGTGGTGGTGAAGCTGTGGGAAGGAAGGTCAGGGGCTCACCTGGGGCCGGGCAGGGCCCTGGTCCCCCTTGACTTTATGAAGAAGTGAGCGTGGAAGGGCAGGAGGGCCAGCTCCCTGCACGGCCCCTGCAACTTCCTGGCACATCTGTCTGTGTGCCTC